GCTCATAAGGCCTTGGCGCCGACCCTATGCACTTAGTTACAGTGGGGGAAAAAAGTATTTAGTCAGCCACCAATTGTGCAAGTTCTCCCACTTAAAAAGATGAGAGAGGCCTGTAATTTTCATCATAGGTACACGTCAACTATGACAGACAAAATGAGAAAAAACATTCCAGAAAATCACATTGTAGGATTTTTAATGAATTTATTTGCAAATTATGGTGGAAAATAAGTATTTGGTCAATAACAAAAGTTTCTCAATACTTTGTTATATACCCTTTGTTGGCAGTGACACAGGTCAAACGTTTTCTGTAAGTCTTCACAAGGTTTTCACACACTGTTGCTGGTATTTTGGCCCATTCCTCCATGCAGATCTCCTCTAGAGCAGTGATGTTTTGGGGCTGTCGCTGGGCAACACGGACTTTCAACTCCCTCCAAAGATTTTCTATGGGGTTGAGATCTGGAGACTGGCTAGGCCACTCCAGGACCTTGAAATGCTTCTTACGAAGCCACTCCTTCATTGCCCGGGCGGTGTGTTTGGGATCATTGTCATGCTGAAAGACGCAGCCACGTTTCATCTTCAATGCCCTTGCTGATGGAAGGAGGTTTTCACTCAAAATCTCACGATACATGGCCCCATTCATTCTTTCCTTTACACATCAGTCGTCCTGGTCCCTTTGCAGAAAAACAGCCCCAAAGCATGATGTTTCCACCCCATGCTTCACAGTAGGTATGGTGTTCTTTGGATGCAACTCAGCATTCTTTGTCCTCCAAACACGACGAGTTGAGTTTTTACCAAAAAGTTCTATTTTGGTTTCATCTGACCATATGACATTCTCCCAATCCTCTTCTGGATCATCCAAATGCACTCTAGCAAACTTCAGACGGGCCTGGACATGTACTGGCTTAAGCAGGGGGACACGTCTGGCACTGCAGGATTTGAGTCCCTGGCGGCGTAGTGTGTTACTGATGGTAGGCTTTGTTACTTTGGTCCCAGCTCTCTGCAGGTCATTCACTAGGTCCCCCCGTGTGGTTCTGGGATTTTTGCTCACCGTTCTTGTGATCATTTTGACCCCACGGGGTGAGATCTTGCGTGGAGCCCCAGATCGAGGGAGATTATCAGTGGTCTTGTATGTCTTCCATTTCCTAATAATTGCTCCCACAGTTGATTTCTTCAAACCAAGCTGCTTACCTATTGCAGATTCAGTCTTCCCAGCCTGGTGCAGGTCTACAATTTTGTTTCTGGTGTCCTTTGACAGCTCTTTGGTCTTGGCCATAGTGGAGTTTGGAGTGTGACTGTTTGAGGTTGTGGACAGGTGTCTTTTATACTGATAACAAGTTCAAACAGGTGCCATTAATACAGGTAACGAGTGGAGGACAGAGGAGCCTCTTAAAGAAGAAGTTACAGGTCTGTGAGAGCCAGAAATCTTGCTTGTTTGTAGGTGACCAAATACTTATTTTCCACCATAATTTTCAAATAAATTCATTAAAAATCCTACAATGTGATTTTCTGGTTTTTTTCTTCTCAATTTGTCTGTCATAGTTGACGTGTATCTATGATGAAAATTACAGGCCTCTCTCATCTTTTTAAGTGGGAGAACTTGCACAATTGGTGGCTGACTAAATACTTTTTTTCCCCACTGTAGATTGAGACCATCCTAATGATTTGACAACAGCAGCAGCAGACTCCTAAAACATCTTCTCTGTACATCATTCACATGTTATGACCTTAGATTTCTTTGTGAACAAAGCATTTGACACCCAAGAAGGTTGTCTTTTACCAACACCAGATAGCATATAAACACGTCATAAGCAATGGCAAACTGCTACATTTTCTCTCATCTTCATGACAAATGTGAAGAATAGCATGAGATGAGCTATAAAACAGCACATTGTTCTTTCTGCCCCATGGCAACATGTGTAGAATTGCAGGAAATGAGGTTTAAAACTGCAAAATGTTCTCTCAGCCTCATGACAAAATGTGTAAAATAGCATTACAAATCTGCACATTCTTCTCGCTGTCCCATGACAAAATGTGTTGAAATGTGGGAAGTTAGCGGTTTTCCCCAAAGAAATCTGTTTTCCCCAAAAAATGTTTTTGTTGTTGTTGGTTTTGGGGTTGGGGGGCCCCGTGGAGGTAGGTGTTCACCAGAACACAGCAAGGACAAGGTAACAGGAAGATGGCTTTTAATGCCTGTAATCAGTTACATCTACCCTCAAGCTTCAGTACCAGTAAGTGAAATATTACTCTTGGACTAATTTACAGTTTCAATGGAGACTCTCCCCTGACACTCTCTCTCTCTCTCTCTCAATTCAATTTCAATTTCAATTTAATGGGCTTAATTGGCATGGGAAACATATGTTTACATTGCCAAAGCAAGTGAAATAGATAATAAACAAAAGTGAAATAAACAATACAAAATTAACAGTAAACATTACACTCACAAATGTTCCAAAAGAATAAAGACATTTCAAGTGTCATATGTTTATATACCCAACCAAGGAGGGCCCAGGTCTGACAGAATCTGTACAGAAGATCTAGGTGCTGCTGTAGGCCCTCCTTGGTTGGGTACAGAAGCACCAGATCATCAGCAAACAGTAGACATTTGACTTCAGATTCTAGTAGGGTGAGGCCGGGTGCTGCAGACTGTTCTAGTGCCCTCGCCAATTCGTTGATATATATGTTGAAGAGGGTGGGGCTTAAGCTGCATCCCTGTCTCACCCCCCGGCCCTGTGGAAAGAAATGTGTGTGTTTTTTGCCAATTTAAACCGCATACTTGTTGTTTGTGTACATGGATTTTCCCCCCAACACCACTTTCCATCAATTTGTATAGCAGGCCCTCATGCCAAATTGAGTCTAAAGCTTTTTAGAAATCAACAAAGAATGAGAAGACTTTGCCTTTGTTTTGTTTTGTTTAAGTATAGCCAATTGGAATTTGTGGTCTGTATATTTTATCATTTCATTTAGGATACCATCAATCACACAGGCCTTTTTGGGTTGGATGGTTTGTATTTTGTCCTGTAGTTCATTCAATGTAATTGGAGAATCCAGTGTGTTCTGGTAGTCTTTAATAGTTGATTCTAAGATTTTATTTGATCATGTATATGTTTTTGCTGTTTGTTCTTTGTTATCCATACATCTCCGTTTTGGATAGATAACTCTTCGTGTTGTTGTTTGTTTAGAGTTTTCCAATTTTCCCAGAAGTGGTTAGATTCTATGGATTCTTCAATTACATTGAGCTGATTTCTGACGTGCTGTTCCTTCTTTTTCCGTAGTGTATTTCTGTATTGTTTTAGTGATTCACCATAGTGTAGGTTTTCTGGGTCTCTATGTTTTTGGTTGGATATGTTTCTTAATTTCTTTCTTAGATTTTTGCATTCTTCATTAAACCATTTTTGTTAATTTTCTTAGGTTGTCTGCTTGAAATATTTTGATTTGATAGGGAAGCTGAGAGGTCAGATATACTGTTTAGGTTTTCTACTGCCAAGTTTACACCTTCACTATTACAGTGAAACATTTTGTTCAGAAAATTGTCTAGAAAGGGTTGAATTTGTTGTTGTCTAATAGTTTTTTGGTAGATTTCCATACTACTTTCCTTCCATCTATAGCATTTCTTAATATTATTCAGTTCCTTTGGCTTTGATGCCTCATGATTGAGCATAGCTCTGTTCAAGTAGAGTGTGATTTTGCTGTGATCTGATAGGGGTGTCCGTTGGCTGACTGTGACCACACTAAGAGACTCTGGGTTGAGGTCAGTGATAAAGTAGTCTACAGTACTACTGCCAAGACATGAGCTATATGTGTACCTACTGTAGGAGTCCCCTCAAAGCCTACCATTGACTATGTACATACCCAGCGTCTGACAGAGCTGCAGGAGTTGTGACACATTTTTGTTGGTTATGTTGTCGTGTGTGGGGAGGCATCTCTCTCTCTCTCTCTCTCTCTCTCTCTCTCTCTCTCTCTCTCTCTCTCTCTCTCTCTCTCTCTCTCTCTCTCTCTCTCCGTCTCCCCCCCCCCCACAGGCATTCAGCCAGTCCTCAGTTCAGCTCAGACCACACTGAACCCTGAGGTGTCCCAATGCCAGTGACCATAATATTTACATAGGATATAATCTACTAAATTGATCGTACATCAACTTTTTGTTTTCATAGTTTACAGGTGGAAGACATACACTTGGGGGCCGAGATAAAATATACCTTCCAGTATATTTAGATACAGCTGTCATTTAAGACAATAGTTAAAAGGCGGCTTTTAGATATTTCACTTATTAAAGAAATATTCATAAACTTTTTTTATATAAATATTCATGTGCATCATTATAATAAAACTCAGTCTTCATTTTTTGTGTTAATTTAAATAAATATACATGTGTGCATCATTATAATACAACTCAGTATTTTGTGTCTTCTTAATATTTACGTTGAAATACCTTCATTACTTATCCTTCCACTTATACTGTGTTTTTAAAATGTCCCTCCATATACCCCTCAAGAGAGGCATCATAAGTAATGTCAAACTGTGTAGAATTGCAGGAAATGCGTTTGAAAATGTCAAAACAAATTCTGGGGGATCCCCGGACACCCCTTCTACTGTTTCTATTTTTCCTGTGGTCTGTAATAATTCTGTGGTGTATACTAATATTGGTTAAGATGTGTGCCTGACTGTGCCCATCTCTTGAGAGAAAAATCCCTGTTTGAATCGTAAACTGAAAAAATAATACACTCAACTACATTAGTGATTGACCACAAAAGGAGTCAAATGTTAATGTGTGGTGGGTTGGATTCTGAATGTATAAAAAATGTACAATGACGTCCATACACAACAGAGCACTGTTCTGTGTTTTTTCTCTTGTAATACTACAGTGTTTGTTATGAAAACAGACTGAGTACTGTGCGAGGAACACTACACACTGTAGGTTTACTCAAAGCATCCTCTGTTTGTCATCCATACAGCACAAGTCATGGAAGAAGATCAAGAACATGGTCCATTGGTCTCCTTTCGTCATGTCCTTCAAGAAGAAGTACCCTTGGATCCAGCTGGCGGGTCATGCAGGTAGGCCTTGATAACGCTGCTTCTGGAATGTGGGGATTCTGGGATAAGGCTATGGAAATGTGTGTTCTGTGTTCCGCTCTCCTTCTCCCAGCTGGATTGGATACGCTACAGTGGCCAATGTGTTTGGAATTCAAATATAGTCTCATGCTAAGCATCGGGATATACTTCATATATTCAAAGGCACAGTACTACAATTATGGCATAGCTAAGAGTTTCATCCTATTTGTATATACTGTAGCTAGGATACCTGTAATTGAATATTCCACTCAGAATCAGATAAGACATTTTCTTTAGCACCAGGACCAAACAAAGTAAACCTACTGTGGCCTACAAAGTAAACCAGGCCTGCAACCTCTACTGTAGTTTGTCTAAATGTTTTTATTGCATATGATGGTTCCTCTCAGGCAGTTTCAAGGCGGGGGCTAACGGGCGGATCCTGAAGAAGCACTGTGACTGTGAGCAGCGCTGCCTGGACTGGCTGATGAATGACGTGCTGCGGCCCTACGTACCGGCCTACCACGGAGACGTTGAGAAAGACGGGGAGAAGTACAACCAGATGGATGACCTGCTCTCTGAGTTCGACCTGCCCTGCGTCATGGACTGCAAGATGGGTGTCAGGTGAGTGTCGGACACTGGATTGACACACTTTCATAGGCAGGTGCATCTCTGGGTTGAAGTTACAATTAGGCACAGATCTAATCTCAGTTTACCCTGTGGATATCCTAAACTAAAGTCTTAGGGGGTTAAATGAAAATCGGACTTTGTTTTTACTAGCAACCTAGACGGCATGGTAACTCTCAGATCTCTTTGTTCCAGTTTCACAGGTTAGGGTAAGGTCCAATATTTAATCAGGCAGACATCCATTAGGCCTAAGGTCTAGGAGTGACCATCACCCTCCCCATACAGTGAAGAGATCGTCCTGTAGCTAGCAGACAGCCAGCTGGCCCCTCTCTCACACCATGACTTAAATCAGCTTGTGGGGAAAGTGTTTTGAACCCAATTCCAATCCTTTGGGTTAATTATTGGGCTGCTGAACTCCACATACGTGTTACAGTTGTCAAACTCTCCCTTGTTAAGTTTACATCAGATGTATACCAGATATGGTTTATAATTGTTCTCTCCTGAGCCACTTTGAAATGCTATTAGTGACCAGTGAAATATTGTAATCTCTTCCGAGCCACTTTAAACTGGGTGCTAACAGGTCAGGCCTGTTTTGATACAGTATCCTATCCTCTATTGCTGAAATGAATAGCCGTGTTGCACTCTCCCTGCTCTCTCCCTCTCCTCTCCTTTCCTCTCTAGCACAGCTGTGTTTGCTAATGTGAACCTTCTCTGGAAGGGCACTGCATTGCAGAGATGGACAGAGTTAGAGATAACCAGATGGCCAGGATATTAGCAAATTATAAACCGGCCTGTCCAAACACAACAATGTGGTGCAGCTCTAACAGACTAAAGCCTGGCCTGTTATTGAGGTAGCTGGCTGCTGCAGCACGAATCAGAATTTGAATCTACAAAGGAAAGGTTGAGAAAACAAAGGCGGGGAGAAGTACAGGGATGAACTGAGGAAAAGGGAACCCCTCCTGTCTTCACTGCAATAAATCTTCTAAAGTATATTATGTGAAGTAAAACAGTTGCTCTTCTTCTTCATTCACATGTTGGCTCCTGGGACATGATCATTCACTATAGCCATGACAATACTATAACAGCTTTGTCAAACAAGAATTATCGTTATTGTATTGCACAATGTGGCACAATATATTGTACAATGATAGTATTCTAAGATGTAGAGTACAATTATCCTTTAATTGTCCCATAAAAGGAAATACATTTTGTTGCTGGACTTGTAACACCATAAAACCAGAAAATCTTATTTAACAAGTCAGTATCAAACAGACATGAGTGAGTAATCTCTCTTTTGCTTCTCTGTCCACCAAAGGACATACCTGGAGGAGGAGCTGACCAAGGCCCGTAAAAAGCCCAGTCTGAGGAAGGACATGTACCAAAAGATGGTGGAGGTGGACCCCCTGGCACCCACGCCAGAGGAGCAGGAGCAGCAGGCGGTCACCAAGCCCCGCTACATGCAGTGGAGAGAGACCATCAGCTCCACCGGTACACTGGGCTTCCGCATCGAGGGCATCAAGGTGAGCCAGGGGGACCGTTGAACTTCTGTTTGAATGGACACTTCTATGCACCATGATATACAGTAGAGTGATGCATTGTAACGTTTACATTTCAGTCATTTAGCAGACGCTCTTATCCAAAGCAACTTATAGGAACAATTAGGGTTAAGTGCCTTGGTCAAGGGCACATCGACAGATTTCTCACCTTGTCACTCAGGTATTCGAACCAGCGACCTTTTGGTTACTGGCCCCACGCTCTTAACCGCTAGGCTACCTGCCATCATACTCTCTAAAACCCACTTAACAGTCCATTATTGGGAAAATTAAACACTATAGGGAAGATGACAAAATCTTGCATATGCCAGTCTGTACATTCGGTAGTTACTAGTTGAAATGATAAACGGTAAAAAAAAAAAAAAAAAAATCTAAATCTATCCATAAGGAAAAAAGTAATAATGCGAAATCGAGAGTGTAATTCCACTTGTAAGGGCTGACCGTGATGGTCCTGCTTGGTTTGCATACAGACATACCCTGCAGTCGCCCCTTAATAGCATTCCTCATACTAAGGGTTGCCAGGGCCAACAGGAGGGGATCCCTTCTCTTTAGTCTTAGTGTGTATAGGCTGTGTTTAATGTTTTTGTCACACATAGGGCCTGCTTGTGACACCTCTATTGACAGTAACATCAGTTGCTGAAGCACCCCCTTCACTCCCACACACCATCAGTCTCCTCCAAGCTGACACTAATAGATTCAGTGCAGCAGCAGCAGACAGACAGACAGACAGACATTTGGTCTGATCGTGTGATTCTGCCTGGGTAAAGCTAAGCATACTAACAATCTTATTTGTAAAAAGCTGGGAGCAACAACAACAAAAAAGAGCATTCCTGCAGCATATCCTTCCTAGGCAGTTAGACTACACGAGGGTAGTCTAATTCCTCCTAAAGCCAAGAGGGAGACATCCTGGCCATGTTTGGGCCGTAACACCGTCTTCCAGAATCTGTCTCCTCTAATGAGGGCCTGTGGTTTGACTCTGGAGGGCTAAAGACAGATGTGCTGGATGAATAGTTCAGACTGGACCGACAGCGTAGGGAGCAGCAGCAGGGCTGTCCGGAGTTTTCCACTCCAGCCATGTCCATAGATGGCTGCGCCCCGCGGGGCTCCGCTGGCTCTCTCTGTTGTCATGACATCAGGGGTTGCCCTCGGAGACTGTGTGTGGAATCAAAAGGCTCTCTGAGTTTTTAGAGAGCACACAGCTGCTGTTGTCTCTGTTAGGCCCCAGCTCAATGCCAATATTTTTGCCTGCCTGCATATTTACATTTGGCAGACGCTCTGATCCACAGTTACAGTTAGTGCATTCATGTTAAGATATTCATCTTAAGCTAGGTGAGACAACCACATACACTATATATACAAAAGTATGTGGACACCCACTCAAATTAGCTGATTCAGCTATTTCAGCCACACCCGTTGCTGACAGGTATATCAAATTGAGCACACAGCCATGCAACCTCCATAGACAAACATTGGCAGTAGAATGGCCCGTACTGAAGAGCTTAGTAACTTTCAACTTGGCACCGTCAAAGGATGCCACCTTTCCAACAAGTCAGTTAGTCAAATTTCTGCCCTGCTAGAGCTGCCCCGGTCAACTGTAAGTGCTGTTATTGTGAAGTGGAAACGTCTAGGAGCAACAACAGCTCAGCCGCGAAGTGGTAGGCCACACAAGCTCACAGAATGGGACCGCCGAGTGCTGAAGCGCCTAGCGCATAACATTTGTCTGTCCTTGGTTGCAACACTCACTACTAAGTTCCAAACTGCCTCTGGAAGCAATGTCAAGCATCGGCTGGAGTGCTGTAAAGCTCGCCACCATTGGACTCTGGAGCAGTGGAAAAGCATTCTTTGGAGTGATGAATCACGCTTCACCATCTGGCAGTCCAACGGACAAATCTGGGTTTGGCGGATACCCGGAGAACGGTACCTGCCCGAATGCATTGTGCCAACTGTAAAGTTTGGTGGAGGAGGAATACTGGTCTGGGGCTGTTTTTCATGGTTCGGGCTAGGCCCCTTAGTTCCAGTGAAGGGAAATCTTAACGTTACTGTATACAATGACATTCTAGACGATTCTGTGCTTCCAACTTTGTGGCAACAGCTTGGGGAAGGCCCTTTCCTATTTCAGCATGACAATGCCCCCATGCACAAAGCGAGGTCCATACAGAAATGGTTTGTCGAGATCGGTGTGGAAGAACTTGACTGCCCTGCACAGAGCCCTGACCTCAACCCCATCGAACACCTTTGGGATGAATTGGAACGCCGACTTCCAGCCAGGCCTAATCGCCCAACATCAGTGCCCGACCTCACTAATGCTCTTGTGGCTGAATGGAAGAAAGTCCCCTCAGCAATGTTCCAAAATCTAGTGCAACGCCTTTCCAGAAGAGAGGAGGCTGTTATGGCAACAAAGGGGGGATCAACTCCATATTAATGCCCATGATTTTGGAATGAGATGTTTGACGAGCAGGTGTCCACATACTTTTGGTCATGTAGTGTATCTACTGAGACAGTAAAGCACACCGTTGTGGTAGTGTTCGAATATGTCTACATTAAGTATGTGCTGACGTCCTCCTGTCTAAGCGATATGATGCAAAACATTGGGCTATTTTCCTGTTTTGGTCACCTCTTTCAGCAGGGTTTTGCTGCGTAGAGAAATACCTACAGTGTGTAGAATAGTATAGTAAGTTCCACGTTATGGGTCTGACTTTTGAAGTTATTTAGCCTCCCCTTGAATGATAGAGGCCATTTCTATAAAGCTAGCAGTGTGTGTCACATAATGTAGTTGTTGGAGGCCCCATCCTGCTGAAACATTCAGCTCTAAATATATCTGCCTTTCTTTCTCTTTCCCTTTGCAGAAGGAAGACGGGACAGTAAACAGAGACTTTAAAAAGACCAGGAGCAGGGAGCAAGTGACAGAAGCATTCACCGACTTTGTCAAAGGAAACCAGAACATCCTGGTGAGTGTGTGTACATGTGTGTGTGAGTCTCCCGGTGTGCGCGTGTGTGCCTCCGTCTGTGTGTGTGAGCCAGAGCCCCCTACCGCTGTGGCAGACCTCCCTTTGCCATGGTCTAAAGGCCAAACTTCCCCCTCTCTAATGGCCCAGGAAGTGAGCTATGTGTGATGTGGGCCTCCCAGGGTTCTGGAAACATGGCTGGGAAAGGAAAGGGAAAAGGGGATACCTAGTTAGTTGTACAACTGAATGCATTCAACTGAAATGTGTCTTCCGCATTTAACCCAACCCGAAACTAAACAATCAAACAAGATTTCCTCCATTCCATTCCACGTTGGTTTGTCATGTGTTTATCTGGCACCACTAGGCTCAAGCCAAGGCTGGCAAGCCCAGGCAAACACCCTCTATCTGTCATTGTGTGGTGGGCCTTGGCCCCACTGTTGTGTACTTAACTGTCACTCATGTGTGGTCTTCATCTCTCTCTCTACTGAGCTGATCTGTTGGCCCATAAGGTTTGCACTATGGAGTTATCAAAATTCACTCAATGGTCTGTTTATGAGTAATGTTGTCTAATGAATACAGATTTAAATTCAGTTCAATTTTGGGGTATTCCTAACGTAGTTTGCACATTAAATAACACACTTTCACTCCACCTATATCCTTTATCCAGTATAACAATAGTTTAGTTGATGTTTTTCTGTGTGGTTAAAAATAGAGAAAACCTTGACCCTTGAATGAATGAAAGCTTTTAGATCAGATTTTCCCACGTCCCTGGGTAGATTGAATAATACCTATTTTGTTCTCGCCTGTCTGTTTTTAGAACTGTTATCTGGACAGACTGAAGGAAATCAGGAACACTCTGGAAATATCAACCTTCTTCAAGACCCATGAGGTAAACAAAACTATTTTTGTCCTCTGCTGGTATTTTATCTACAGTTGTAACATTTACCGAAATGGAAGCATTTGAGATCCACCCATATACCACTCAACTGATACAGGAGGCTACAATATGTGCAGTGGAAATACATGAACAATGGCATCTACACAAACACCAACCAATCACAGGACATTGTTATTCCAAACAGGAAGCATAGTCAGGCTCAGGCACGTGAACAGATAGGGCTCAACCAGTGCCCGAGCACATGCCCTTTTGCCCTCCAATGAAAAAGTACCCTTGCAGCTCAGTGGATTTTATGTATTACTTTAAAACATTTCGTTTTAATTTTAAATGGAACGAAATGCACATCAAACTGGCTAAATTCATAAGCTCTTGAATCTCATAAAATGTCCCCCTCCCCCGCCCCAAGAGCGCACTCCTCTGACTTGCATGCAGTGGCCACTGGCTGCGGGCGCTGGGCAGGGAGACTTGAATACTGGTAGGAGGCTACTTTTGAGTTGGATCAGTCATATGTGTCTCTCACTGTTAGAGACAAAGAATGGGGCATTTCCACTGCTTCTTAGTAAGAGGCAGATGTCAGCAGCAGAACAAACTCAAATCAAGTAAAAACAAGTTTGTTTCAACAGCATAGCTAACTATTACATCATCATTCGCTCTGATCAGCTGATAGACACCCGATGTCAATCATCTAGGCCTAGGAGTCACTGGCATTAGCTTGCTTACAATATGTGATGATGGCTGTTGTTGCAGATAGGCCCATAAATTGTTGGCCCGCCCCCCCCAAAGTTCTTGTGCACGGCCCTGGCCAGGCTCCTGAAGGTGCTGTGGCGTTTCAGAGGAAAGGTTGAGACACAGGCCCTAGAACAAACCTCTTTGGAATAACCTATGTCCTGCTGTTTAGCTGGAGTCAGATACAGGCTGTGTATGTTAACTCCTCAGATATACCTACTGTATGTGACACCAGTGGGTCTTTGTAGTGACATTTGACCTAAACTCAGGAATAGCTGATGAATAAGATTATTTGGACTCACATTTACGTCAACCATCTGTCCAGACATACTGTAGTAAGACCATAGAGATGTATAGAGATCGCAATGTTGTATCTGTGCCATTATGGTAGTCAATTTCTTTTGATGTTTGAAGAAAAAAAAGTGTAAAGCTAATATTGGTGACTTACTGCCACCTGCAGTGCTGGAGTCTTGAACCAATACAATAATCTGGATTGTACTGGTATGTACAGGATAATGTTTTTACCTACCCAATGCCTTAATGATTCTTTAACTACAGAAAGCATAGGATCATTAGATCAAATAAGTTTCTGAACCTCCAAGTCATAGGGTAAAGTTTAACAGTAAATGAATGTGTACAGTGTACTTTGAAGGATGTTGATTTAATGGGCAGTTATTTACTCAATGCCGATAACAATCTTTACATGATTATATATGGCGATATAGACCATACAAAATGCTTCATTAGGCTTCTCCCTTTTTATTCTTAGATGGCTACCATACACACGTTTTCATCCTATTGGTTCAGGTCTGCTGCTAGTTTGTGTATTTGATAGAGCTTTGTGCTGCCAGAGATCTCAGTGTGTTGAGGACTAAGAGGGATCCATCTCTCCCCCTTCCCCAGGTGATTGGCAGCTCACTGCTGTTCGTCCATGACAAGCGGGAACAGGCCAAGGTGTGGATGATAGACTTTGGGAAGACCACCCCTCTGCCTGATGGACAGGTCCTGAGTCACAGAGCCACCTGGGAGGAGGGCAACCGTGAGGACGGCTACCTCTATGGCCTGGACCACCTTATAGACATTCTCACCCAAATGGTGGTGACCTCAGAGCCAGGGCCAGACCCACTCTGAGAGGACCGTCCTGTCACCTCTGTCAACCTCGACCCTACCCCACTGGCAGGACCACCACCTCGCACTACAGTGACGCCTCTGGTGTCCCCAAAAAGCTATCCTTCTCTCCCTCCCTCCCTTATTCCCTCTCTTCCCTGGCCCCAGAAAACAAACTGTAACCACACAAGTGAAATGTGATCACTGTTTTGTGTAAACTTGTAGATTCTGTACATACTGCTGTACAGTGTGTTTCTGTTCTGATGAGACCATGGGTTAGGTTAGGTTCTTTCTCTGCAGCTAGTCTCGTGACAAGCCTTCTTGAGATTTGAGTTGGTTTTGTTTTATGAGAGTTATTTTATAACATTGTAGAGCACTTCTTACTTTCATAGAGGATTACATTTATTATGTGTTAAAACTTATATGGTGCTTGGCCTTGTGGTGAAAGAGAGACAATTGAAATAGTTATATTCAGCAGTCGGGCACTTCCTGTGTTTTTAAACTAACATATAATTTAACATTTACAGAAAATGTCAAGGGTCAATATTACCCTTTTTAGCTGATAGGATTGCCATAATCCATGTCCTTCATATAATTTTATTTGTGATACCCCCTTGCAGAATTCTCCAATGTTTATTATTAGTTTGTATCTCATTATGTTACAAAAGCTATTGTAATAGTGTACTTGAGACTGTGTGATGTGATGTGCCTATCTATATTAATTTCAGTGCCTTCAGAGTGAAAGTAGAGAAGGTGGCATAAGTAGATTGCACTCCGTTATGCACTTAGAACCTATTTTATTAAGGCTAATGTTGACATTCCTGTAATCAACCATTGAGGAGTGACTATGAGTTCAGAGGTCAATGTACATGAAGCAGAGGGAGTGGGCGACTGCCTGGTCTCTAACAGGAAGTGGCCCTTAAACAAGTGAGAATGAGTTTGCGTTCTAAATATTCCAAGTTCTTCAGCCTTTCAGAACACCTAAAAAGACCAGGTTTTATTCTCGTATTGTCATGATTCCCTTAGTCAGAGGTGGCATCACCTGTGATACTCTGTCATTAATGTATATCAATCAATCAATCAATCAATCAAATTGTATTTATAAAGCCCTTTTTACATCAGCAGATGTCACAAAGTGCTATACAGAAACCCAGCCTAAAACCCCAAACAGCAAGCAATGTAGATATAGAAGCACGGTGGCTAGGAAAAACTCCCTAGAAAGGCAGAAACCTAGGAAGAAACCTAGAGAGGAACCAGGCTCTGAGGGGTGGCCAGTCCCCTTCTGGCTGTGCCGGGTGGAGAATGCTATATGGCCTAGCATTGAATGAACCCATCCCTTCCTGTTTGTTATTGGGCACAAGACAGCATATGATTGCTGTTTGCATGGCTATTTGCTATTCAAATCTACCATTCCTGCCTCCTGCCCAAACATCCTGAGGTGGCAAACAAAACGAATGGGATGTCTGTTTAGTGTCTACCAGGTCTATAAACAAGGAGTGAGAGGCCTTTAACAGGGCAACACTGTCATCATTGTCTGATTGGATTCAATTAGCATTAAGTCATGTTTTGGTGACAATCGGATCACACACGCATGACATGGACCATAGAAAGATTGACTGACATTGTATGGTAGTTTTTTTTATGGCAGTTAATACAGTTTTTATATGTTGTTTAGCTTACTTCAGGGTTTAATAGTAATGTTCCTTTAATTGCCATATCACATACAATATTCTCAGTTATGAGAGTGGAGTGAGGGTGTCCTTGTTTTGTAATGACTGCTCTTTCACCTTTATCTGAGGAACTGAGAGGGGTGTGGTGTGTTAGAATGGCAAACATCATATCCTAAAGAAACAGAGCTCACTTCTCCAAGGTCTTCAATTGGTTGAGGCAGATGATTCTAGCAGGACAACATTGACCAATAGTTTTGACCAATACTCTAGGTGTCAAACTTGTCTTGTCTTTGAGTGCCATTGAACTGTACCAATATAGCAACTGAAACGTTAAAAAAGGAATTCAATTTGACAGGATTGTGGTAAATTGAGAGTGAAACTATAGGCCTACTGCATTGGACCAGAAAGCACAGAAATAAAGAGTAGAGTGCCCTCTGCTGTTACTGAATTGTATTACATTGAGCAGCATAAAACAAATTACATGGCTGTATTTTACAGAAACACATTTTGACTTTGATTTTAAAATGTTGCCTTTATTCTCTTACTTTAATATTTCTTCTAGTAGCTTATTTCAAAACGCTACTCTGTCGTTGTGCTTGTAGTTTTTGTGAAGTGTCTTAGAATTATGTATTCATGACCATATTTATTTCTTTGTGACATTTGCACAAGAACACTAAATGTAGCTAGCTGCGTGTGTTTTAATTTTTTTACAATCCTGTCATTTTGTTGAAACTCAGTCATGATATAATAATTTAGTAGGTTACTGTAACATAGGCCCGACTCACTGCTTCTAACAATGTGTAAAAAATACTGTATGTTTTAGAGATGAACAAGAAGTCTGTTCTGTGCACTCTACCAGGTGTTCTTTTGTGCCTATGATCTGTGAGACCTGGTTTCGGGCTAGGCTGGCCACAGAGTGGTTGGTTGACGTGGAGATTGTCATAGCAATGTCATCTGTCATCCCTGTTCCAGGTTGACATGATTGTGTCCTTTGTCTCCTAGCCTTGTGCTGTGGGGATGTTGTGACTGAGATACACACACACACTGTGCCTTTAGGTCCTCTGGTCATTGTGCTGTCATCACCCATGGATCTTCTTATGTAAATCATGCCATCATGTCAATACTTTAAGCAAAACTACCCACTGGACACACACTGGTTGAATCAACTTTGTTTCCACGTCATTTCAATGAAATTACATGGAATAGACGTTGAATTGACGTCTGTGCCCAGTGGGTATGCTTGGCTGTACAATTTTACCGTAGTAAATTTGAACAATGGTTTAAATGCTACCACATGTGTTTGTGCCTTTTATTTCAATGTACAGCATGCTCTCTGTCACGGTTACGACACAGGTAAATTTAGGTATTCCACATGGACTTCTTGTCAAGCACTTTTCACACAACCAGTTCTTAATGAATCTTTACACCATGTCATGTGTGGGACAAATCTCTCCGTTTATACCTGATTCTAACTTGCGTCCTGTGTCTGGATCTTGTCCACATTCTGATTGTGCCCACATTTTTAGACAGGTGTGGACAATCAAAAGTCACATTGTGATCTGATTGTGATCAGATCATCCAGCCCACCTCTGGAAGTAGTCAGACACACATTGTGTCTGGATATCTTACAAGTGTAGACAGATCTGGACAGAGAAACCATTTAAATCATAATTTTTTCACCCTCTAAAATCATTGACAGGTGGCACCATTGACTGATTACATCAATATGTGTCTTACATTAAATAAATAATATTTTGAAAGAATAGCTGTAAAATAATTTGCATAAAGGAAGGGACCAGGAAATCTGGTCATAATGCAGACACAGTGGACGGATAACAGACACATTTTAATACCATGTGTAGACACATTCCTGGAAATGTGGGCACAATCAGAATGTAGACATGATCAGGACAAAGGACCGATGTTAGCACCAGGTATAAACGGGGCTCCTGTCTCCCTCATCTTCCTGTTCTGCCTGACCGATTTTCATCTAATAAGAGCATGTTCAGACATTAGGCAAGCCAGATCTCACAAGCAGAGGGAGATGTAGCCTAGATAAGACTTGGAATCAGATCAGGTAAATCTAAGGATGTACATGGCAGCATGCTTTCAGATCCCCCCCAGAAAGGAGAAGTGCATAATCCCACCCCTAGGCTCTTCGCTGCATGGTATTTTGTCTAAGAATATACCTTTTCTATGGCGTGTTGTTTATGCGCAAAAAAGGTGATGCTCAGAATATAAACGCAACCGTTCAAATGACGACTGACAGGCAAGGAGTCAACAGCACCCCAGCACCAGGCAACATGACAACAATCAAGCATAAAAGTATTTAGAAGGACCACGACCCTAGATGAGGCAGGTCATAATTAGCCATATATGAATCTGCCACTTGACATCTAAAGAAAAACAAAGGATTTGCTGGTGCAGTAGAGATTTGTTTGTTGATATTTTTTCATGTTTGTCTATTTATGGCTCCCATTAGTTATCATATCATTAAAATAGTCATTTCCAACAGGGCATTGTAGCAGATTAAGTGTTGTTAGTATGTACCGTTTGGCCACCAGCTTAGATCAAAACACTTATAATGTCAACACTCCCAAAAGCTGGGAGTATAAATAGAGATGATTCTATTGCTATGATATATAGTGCTTATATTGACCTGTAACTCTGACGCACTCTCAGAGTTGTGTTTGTGGAAATGTAATGCTTCTCATGCCCCCTGACCTACCATCTAACGTAACATCTGCTTGTCCTTGTGTAGTTTGGCCACTAGGTGGAAGCAGGTGCATCTAAAAAACAAAAGAGCCTGATCTGCTATTTCGGTGCTGTAACCATTTCAGAGGAAATCAACAGTTCGTTATACAGTAATTGACCAATGGTGTATTTTGTGGTGTAAGCTACTTTAGGTTGAATGTGTGGGAGATGTTCTTCAGAATAATGTGCTGTATATCAGTAATTGTATATCATAGCATTATAATCATCTCTATTTATACTCCCAGTGCTTGGGAGTGTAGACATTATAAGTGTTTGTATATATATATATATATACAGTACCAGTCAAAAGTTAGGACACATCTACTCATTCAACGGTTTTTCTTTATTTTTTACTATTTTCTACATTGTAGAATAATAGTGAAGACATCAAAACTATGAAATAACACATACGGAATCATGTAGTATTTTATATTTGAGATTCTTCAAATAGCCACCCTTTGCCTTGATGACAGCTTTGCACACTCTTGGCATTCTCTCAACTAGCTTCACCTGGAATGCTTTTCCAACAGTCTTGAAGGAGTTCCCACATATGCTGAGCACTTGTTGGCTGCTTTTCCTTCACTCTGCGGTCCGACTCATCCCAAACCATCTCAATTGGGTTGAGGTTGGGGGATTGTGGAGGCCATGTCATCTGATGCAGCACTCCATCACTCTCCTTCTTGGTAAAATAACCCTTACACAGCCTGGAGATGTGTTGGGTCATTGTCCTGTTGAAAAATATATGATTGTCCTACTAAGCCCAAACCAGATGGGATGGTGTATCGCTGCAGAATGCTATGGTAACCATGCTGGTTAAGTGTGCCTTGAATTCTAAATAAATCACAGACAGTGTCACCAGCAAAGCACCCCCACACCATAACACCTCCTCCTCCATGCTTTACGGAGGGAAATACACATGCAGAGATCATCCGTTCACCCACCCCGTGTCTCACAACGACACAGCAGTTGGAACCAAAAATCTCAAATTTGGACTCCAGACCAAATGACACATTTCCACTGGTCTAATGTCCATTGCTCGTGTTTCTTGGCCCAAGCAGGTTTCTTCTTCTTATTGGTGTCCTTTGGTAGTGGTTTCTTTGCAGCAATTCGACCATGAAGGCCTGATTCACATAGTCCCCTCTGAACAGTTGATGTTGAGATGTGAATGTGACCTAAACTCTGTGAAGCATTTATTTGGCCTGCAATTTCTGAGGCTGGTAACTCTAATGAACGTATTCTCTGCAGCAGAGGTAACTCTGGGTCTTCCATTCCTGTGGCGGTCCTCATGAGAGCCAGTTTCATCATAGTGCTTGATGGTTTTTGCAATTGCACTTGAAGAAACGTTCAAAGTTCTTGAAATGTTCCGTATTGACTGACCTTCATGTCTTAAAGTATTGATGGACTGTTGTTTCTCTTTGCTTATTTGAGCTGTTCTTGCCATAATATGGACTTGGTCTTTTACCAAATAGGGCTATCTTCTGTATACCCCCCCCCCCCCCCCCCCCCCCCCGCCCCCTACCTTGTCACAACACAATTGATTGGCTCAAACACATTAAGAAGGAAAGAAATTCCACAAATTAACTTTTAAGAAGGCACACCTGTTCATTGAAATGCATTCCAGGTGACATGAAGCTTGTTGAGAGAATGCCAAGCGTGTGCAAAGCTG